CCGCCTCCCAGCCGCTCCTGGGTCCTAGCGATCAACCCACGGCGCTGCAGCATCTCTGGGCGCATGTTACCAGCACTTAGAGGGACCAGACGGCAAGTGTGAAAAATCGGGACAGCGGATGGGGGATAACAGGCACCTATATAAGACAAAGCACCAAATATTGGGACTGTCCCTATCCAATTGGGACATCTGTTCACCCTACCGCACTGGTGCAAAAGTTGGAGCTGTCTGGGCTGGCTGAGCCGGACTTGTGGGAAAGAGAAGCAAAAGGAGAAAGAGCAGAAGTAAGGGGGGAAGGAAAATGATGCATGAGGGGAAGGGTGACAGCAGAAACCCACCCTCATATCCACCAGGGTGCAGGGCCGGCCTTGGGGCCTTTTCCCTTGGCCACCATGGGCTCCCCATCTTGCACCCAGTTTTGCCACTAACCCTTGTCCCCTTTTGTACCCTAACTCCTACACTGTGCCCCGAACCCCTACATTTTGCCACCTTCACCCCAACCTCTCCACAGTGCCACCTTCATCCTAACCCCTGCACTTCCCTCCCACCTGTGCCCCAAACCCCACCCTGCGCTGCCCCTGTGCCTGCCACACCACCACCCTGCCCAGGTCCCCCCAGCCCCTTATGCCCAGCAACCCACATGCCCAGTGGCCCCTCACCCAGAGATCACCATCGATCCCTATGCCCAGTGGCCTCCCACCCACAGACTCCCCACACTGCTCTGCACCCCCTCACAGGCCACCCTCCCCCACAACTGTCCAGCATGCCATATTCCCGAGGGCTTTCAGCACCAACAAATTAAAAATTCTGTGCACAATATTTTACAATTCTGCCCATTTTATTTGTCAATCCATACACGTGGAGGCTCCGGAATGGGAGTGGCAAGCATTGGCCCCTGGCTGCATGGAGGTGGGAGATCACCCTGCAGCCTTCCCCCTCCCCTCCTAGGAGAGGGACTTGGCAGTGAGATTCCTCTGTGTGCGTGTCAAAAGGCCACAGGGAACAGGGAAGCGTTTCACATGGTGGCTGGCAGGTCAGCCAGGACCCAAAATCCATTTGAATGACTAAAAGGAAATAGCTGATCCCAATGGCTGAGTCCAGCCCTCACCAGGCCCGTGCCTGCCAGGGCTCTGCACCATCACCTCCCAAATGGCCTTTCATGCTCCCTAAAATGGAACATTTCCCTCTAAGCCGGAAAAGTACAGAGGTGCTTGGGATGTGCAGTTTAATAAGAAAAGGAATTCTCTTCAGGCACCAGTCTTTTTTTCTGCCCTGATTTACAGAGGGCTTGTCTACACCACGCCGAATTGCAGCAACAAGGCTGGGTCCATACAGCCTTGTCGCTAAAAGCCGGCGTGTGTAAATGCTCTTTGTCGGCACTTTTACCGACAAAATATTTCCAGCCTCGCAAGCGGCGTTCGCTTTGTCGGCAGGAGAGCGCTCCCGCCGACAAAGCTGCGTTCACACTGCCACTTGCCGCGGCAAAACTTTTGTCTTTCGGATGGGGGAGCTTTTTAAAGTACCCAGGAAAGACAAACGTTTTT